GACCAAGCTGGACCAAGCAGATCATCCTCTTGGAAGATCCATGGCGGCCAGCCTGGGAACCTGGATCTGCAGTACCACAGGGCTTGATGGACTGTGTAGGAATCCCTGTCAACAGTGACACCATGTGGCAGTGAGAAGCAACGGCAGGAGGAGGCTAAGCCTCCAGGCTCTCCGAGGTGGACCCAAGTCTGAGCAGCCCAAATGACTCCCTTCTTCCCTCCTGTTTAGGAGTCACTGTGCTGGCGAGCACAGGGGCCATGACATATGAGACAGCTACTAACCTGATGCAGCTGAACCCAAGACACTGAAATGGCTAAAGATTCCTGGATGAGGCAACTCTGTACTCTTCTCTCTTAAAATGGCTTCCTATTTCTCCAAGTGCCCAATTGAGAAAAGTGGGTAATTAATATTACTCACATGATGAGAGAGTAGTGGCTACTACATTTAGTAGAAAAATTAAAGCTGAGAAGGTCATTTTGGAGGGCTGCTGTTTTGCAAAATCAAATAAGGTATTTCCAACCCTCCCCACCTCCCCTCACACCAGAAGCCTTCCTTGGTCCTGAGTTAGGTGTTCTAAGGAACTGTGCTTTCTTGGTCATAGTTTATGGTAAAATTATGCTTTCCAATTGACTCGCTCTAGTTTGTAGTGGCAGGGACAGTGTTTTGTTCACTGCTGTATCTCCTCTGCTTTGTACGTGTTGAAACCAAAGGCTGATTTTATACCTAATCCATAACCCAGACTCAGGGAAAGTCTGGGACGAGTAAAACAGTTTTTTCTCTTTGATGTCTGATGCTGTGCTCTTTCTAGCTGGTGTCTTCAATTTGGAAGGCTGTGGACCTCGATCTGAAAGTCTTTAGTTTGGAGGGCAAGTCAAAAAGACTGTTCTGTGAACTAATGCACCACTTGCCCTGGGCTGGTTAGTTATGTTACCAACTTGACATTCTTTTCTTAGAAATTATACTCAGAGTACAACTATATGACTTAATAAAAGCTTTCAGCAGTGACACAGAAAAGAAATACTTTCAAATATCATAAAATCACTTTTATTTTTATCATATCCAACATTTCAGTGACCCATAAATAACTGATTTGGGAGGAAAGATCTGGTTTTACAAGTCCTCCTGTCATCTCTAGGGGGTGAGTATAATCTTTCCAGAGAGCAGAGAAGGAATCTCAGTCATAAAATCATATAGTGAACACTGTCACGGGAGGATTCCTCCTGAAGCTTAAAGTAAGTAGTTTGCAGACATATGAAAATATATACTTCTTCATGGAAAGGGGGAATAATCATTAGAACTCTACCCTAAGAACCTGTATGGGTAAAATAAAATTAATATGCTTAATGTGAACTCAGATGATTACAAAAAGGAATTCAGAGATGTCTGGAGCTCAGTTTCACGGAAGAACGCTACCTTCCACTTCAGGGACAGAACACTGGGCTAGGTAAGCTGCCTGTCTGACCCAGTGTAGAATTTCTTATGACTTTTATGTTCCTCTAAGGTACACAATAGATGGTTAGTGAGTTGAAGCCTGCCCAGCTACTGGGCCTTAATGATGTCATCAAGCTCAGCTCTGGGAGCCGGCATTCCAGAACCCTGCCCGGCTCAGGGGAGCAGAGGGATGTGCAGGCGCGAATAGGGTTCTGATTCCTAGCCCTTTGTTCGGTATGGACTCCCTTCTAAGTCCTGTCCCCAGACTAAGAAACTAGTTCCCACTTAGTCATGAGGAAACCATGAGAAATGAGCTGTATTTCAGAGATGTTTCTGACTATCTCTTCTCTCTGATGTTTGAGAGCAGAGGGCAGTGGGAACAGGAATGACAGGCATGGCAGGAGCTTCTTCTCTGAATCTTAAGAGTGGACAGGTTAAGCATGCAGCCAAGAGCAAGAGGTTCTCTCAATAGCTGAACACTGAGACTGAAATTCCTACTCAGAGGAGTTGAGCTTGTGAGTGGATTCGATACATGGGACATGAGGGCCTGAAACACTGTTTTATGGGACCACAGAACACAAAGGATAATGTCTCTTCCTTTCTCCTCTACCCTCTCTTCCCTCTCTTCAGAAACCCCAGTAGTAGAAGGTGCGTTGGACCAAACAGCTGCTTCTAATTAACAATTATGTGCATTGTACTTTCCTGCTTGCTGAGCAGCAGACTGGCTTTCCTCTTCTTTCTTCTTCTCCTTCTGCCTGTAGGGCAATTTCCTCCTCTCTTTTTTGCAGGGCCGATAGTTCAAGTACAGTGCTATGGTGATTACACCCACTCCAAGGGCGACAATAATAATGATGAAGATGGTGGAACTGACTCCTTCTCCCAGTCCTGCCCAAGCACAGAAGACAGAGAATCGAGAAGGTTATAGGGCAAGAGAATCACCCCACCCCAGGCCCCCAAGCCTAGCTGTCAGTCTCACCCTCCCCAGCCCACTGCTATCTTTCCTCTTTCCATGTCTGTTTAAGAATCTCAAACCCTCCGGGGGATTTCCATCCTGGGCCTGGCAGCAGGGAAGCTGCAGTCACCTTGCACAATGACAGCAATGTCTTTGCTGGCAGAGCCCAGCTGGTTAGTGGCTGTGCAGCAGTAGATTCCAGTGTGGTTCAGGGTTGCCTTCTGTGGCACGTCAAGGTCAAAGATCATTCCATTCCAGGTACACACCAAGGCTGGTGTCGGGTTTCCCTTTGGGACACAGGCAAGCTTCTGCTCCATCCCTTCCAACCAGGTCTGGTTGCCAGGGCAACCAGATTCCTCTAATCGTGGCTTGTCTGGAAAAAAAAGAGTCCTCAGAAGAGCCAGCTCAGTGTGCCACATTCCCTTGTCACCATCACCATCCTGTTCAGCTCCCTCCCCCTCCCTTAATCCAAATGCTGTGTCCCTTCCACCCAACAGCTTTCTTTCCCAAGGGGAGGACCATCAGTTCCCTGCTTTGAGCTATTCTTTTTCCTCCTGTGGACAAGTCTGAGAGGCAGCACAGGGCATTTTAATGGTTTAAGACTAAATGATCCGAACTGCTTGGTCAATGGTGGCCCTGGGTCCCCTGCTTCCCATCTTTGCTTCTCAGTGAGTGACAACATGTGTAGGGGTGAACCCAGAGATGAGGATTTTTCTACTCTTCAAATACTAAGTTTTATGTGTAAATTTCCCTCCTCAGCATAAGCTCCAACTGTCAGTTTCTATGTTCTCAGCCACTGGCCCTCAACTGATACTGCCTGATCACGTTAACCACTGTGTCTCTTCTGTTCCCCGTTTCCCCCCAGGTTTCTCCCCACTCATCTTCCTAGGGATAAAGTAAGCTTGGAGAGCTTTAATTTTATTGTTTCCTTTGATTTTTTTTTGAATGAGAAAAAGGTGGCAACTCTAATAATGAAGCTGCTGGCCAAAATCTCTGGAAATGAAAGACTAATAATCTTTGTTCTGACAAGAAAGATCAGGTCTCTACTCACATAAGACATGGAGCTGGATCACAGTGGTTTTGCTCAGCTGCTGACCCTGAACCTCCAAAGAGGCTTCACAGGAGAGATTTCGGCCATCATCTTCCTCACTGGTGGTAAGTAAAAGCCAGGCAGGCTCCCCAGGGGCAGGGAGATCTGGGGCTCCCTGAAGCCGAAGAGTAGGGCTGGGTGATGTTAACACATGCCCTGAGCAGGTCACATTAATGTCCGTCCCTGCCAACGGGTATAATTCTTGGATCTCCAGGATCGGTGGAGGGAAGCCTATAAAGGAAGGAAAAAGAATTGAACATACTTCTCAAAACTGGCAGCCATCTTGTACTCTTGCTGCTGGTGGTACCTCTTGGGTAGGCAGACGACAGGGGAAAGGCTTTGGATGCCATTGTTGCTTCTGTGCTGACTGGCAGGAGCGACGAGATAGTTTGGAATTTGAGAGCTTCTCCTATAATAAATGCCACATTTGTGAACATTCGGCTATGCCTCTGCGGCAAGGATAGCAAGATGTCTTTTCATCTCACAGGTTTCCTCCTCACCTCAAATCATTGTTCCTAGGGATAAGTTCAAGCATCCGCAACCACTCTGTAGGTGGGATGGCCCAAGGAAACAGGGTGAAGCCTGGATAGAACTACTGCCTCAGGCCTGCACTTATCAGAGAAAGATGAAGACTAATGTTCACTTGGGAGAGTACCTAGCGAAGATTAGTAGGGATATTTACAGTTGAATTACCCAACCTTTACTACAGAAGTTTTAATGGCACAGAATCCTCACGAGGGAGGAGGCAGGTCACTTACTATAGACATGCACTGGCTTTTTTGTTTTCTGTTCCACTGGACCCAGCAATACAAGGCAAGACAACTCTTGATCACCAGTCTCCATGGCCCGAACGGTGGCATTGGCCCAAACTGTGTCTCCCTCCCAGGAGAGGCAGGGGCTCAGCTCCTGGTCTCCCAGGAACATGTGGATCATTACTTCTTTGGCTGGGAACACCCTAGCCACCTCACAGCTCACAGTCTCTGCCATCCCAATCTCCAGAAGTGAGGAGACCCAGATTTGGGGTCTCTGAGACAATTCTGTCAAAAAATGAGGAAAAGGAAAGAAAGGAAAAAAGCCAAGATAAATCATGCGTCATATAGGACCCCACAATGTAGGGGGGGGGGCTAAAAGTTCTCTGTCCCCCACAATGAGCTTAAAACTCTAAGTAGAGGTGGTACTCAATTACCCTTACACCTCATCCTAAACTCTATGGAAACAGAGTCCCAAAGGCAATGAGTCCCAAAGGCCCAGGTAAGATGAGGAAAATGAGCCTCAGGATTCCTTCCACACCTGGGCTCTGACTCACCAAAGATCCGAAGTACCCTGATGGCCGAGCTGTTGTGAAAGAGCCCTCCACCGTGTGAACTCAAGTCCAGCTCTGCGTGGCAGGAGAAATTGCACCTGTCATCCTCCCTTTGGGCTTTGGCGCTGATGGTGACCTCAGCTCTTTGGGAGGCCACAGCCAAGTTCCTAAAGTCCTTTCTATGCAGTTCTTGGTTATCCTTGAGAAGGATAAGGGTGAGGTTCTCCAGAGGTGTGACACTGGGCACATGGCACATCACTGTAAAGGCTTCATCCACAGCCACCCATGCAGGCTGCAGTTCCATGATCACCTGCTCTGGTGGCTCTTTAAGACAAAAAGGTGGGTTTGATGAGAGAAGACTACTCACCTCTCCAGAAACAAATGGATTGGGGCAGGAAACCTGTGATGAAACGTGACCACTACCCTTAAACCGTCTGATGAACAGTGTCAGTTTTCTGCTGCCCCTGCCCTAGATGGGATGAGTTCGCCTTCCAGCTCTCCTTCCACCCATGGAAGGTGGCTAAAGGCTTAGCCAAGAAATGTGACTGTTGAGGGGAGGTCCCTTGCTTTGATGGCTGCTGCCATTCTGGAGAGCTCTTCTCTCTGACCAGAGGAGGTTCAGAGACATGAGAGCTTCTGAGGAGCTCCTTAGCATCACATGAAAACTACACCCTAGCTAGCCAAGCTCCTACCCCACAGAGACCACCCTGACTCTTACGGCTGTATCTTTACCAATGCTATTTACCCATCTGAAAGACGCTCCTCACCCATCCCCATCACTTTAAATCCTAACCATTTGTAAGAGTGAAGCTCAAGAGCCTCCTTTTCCATGGAGACTCATCCAACTACCCCAGTCCACAAAGACCCTCCTATCTCTAGTCCCTATTTATTCTAAGAATTTGTGACAAACAAAAATTCTAAGAATTTGTGACAAATAATTCAGCACTAATTTTATACTTTTTGATAATTTATAAATTAGCATTATTAGCATATATCTCCTGTATTTGAACATATTCTCAAGCACACATGTCTGGGTGCTCTCTACAGTCTGTTCCTAATTTAAAAACCTACACCAAAAGGAAACAGAAATTATTGGCTCTAGAATTCCTACAGTATGACAGAAATCCTTATTAAGGGCCCTAATTCTCTCCCCTAAAAGAAATCTCTTTCTAATTATTTTCTAAATAAGGCACGGTCACATTCCCCCACTCTCCCCACCCTCCCCAGCCCCCGGCCCCACTCACGATACACAGTGACGCCAAGGCTTATGTCCTTTTGGACCCCAGCACAAGAGAAGAAGCACTGCAGGACGGAATTCTGGGTGACATCCTCCAGGAGAAACTCTTTCCATTGAGGCCCTTTGCCCACCTGGGTTTTCTTTAATAAGGTCTCAATTCCACTGGGCCCTGGGTCTGGACAGGTGGTGCTGCAGTTGACCATTAGGGACTGTCCATACTTTACCACAGCCTGATCTGGCCAAACAGAAACCTCAAAGAGCTCTTCTGCAGCTCCTGAAAATGATCAACCACATATGCCAAAGACTCTGGTGAGACCTAGAGAAAATACACAACCTATTCTGTCTAGTTACAGGTTAGAGAATAGGATACCTACCCTGCATGAAGAGGTACAGGGGCCTAGATAAGAAAAAGACCCGTAATGAACAAGTTAGAACCCTGATTCTACCACCATTCCCTCCTCTCGTCATCATTCCTGGAATCTCACTTTCTCCATTAGTGTGACCATGGAAACTGGCACTGCTAAAAATCGTGCCCAGGAAACCATTCTCTTCCTAAACTTCCAGAAATCTGGAAGCTCCCGGGACTGGCTGCTGAGGGCCCTCATAGGGTAAGTAGACCCTTGACAAAAGGAGCTCTGTTACTTATACCTCGAAGCAGTGTTTCTCAAATTGTGGTCTAAGGATTGCCTTCACCAGAATTACGCTGGGATGCTTGCAACTGTGGATTCCGGCCCCACCTCAGACTGAATGATTAAGAATTTGTGAAGGTGGGACCTGGAAATACTGAAGCGAACAAAACAAGCACTCCTGGTGACCTCTGTGCACACCAAATTATGAGAACCACTGGTCTAAAGGTGGACTCCCAGGGTCACTCATTTCCATAGGACTTTTCACCTCTTCTTCTCAAAGTGAGACTATTCCATTTTGCTTTGGTGCTAGGGCAACAAATTTTTTTGATGTTTAGGAGTTTAGTCTGTTAGGGAAATCTTCTCAGGTACAGTGAGAGAGACATCGGGTAAGTTTTAGATGTCTGATGTAGGTGAGGGGCACAGTCTCCTGAAAGCTTTCCTTACAAGTCCCCTTTAGCTATTCCATGTCCACCACCCACTTCATCTCCCAAATACCAGTCCCCTCTGGGAATTCACGACTCTCGTAGCAATGTGACCTACTGAGGCTCCAGTTTCTTTCTTGCCATCTGGAGAACTCACTCTTCACAATGAGCTATGGGCCCTGTCCTATCAAGATCCTACCGTAGCTCATCATGACACAAACGATGGCAACAAAGAAGTTAAAATATTCTTGAGAGCAGAATAGGACAGTCCTGGGGCAACAGGGAGCCAAGGAGAAGGTATATTTCTTAGAGAGGGCACTTTCTTATGGTCTATTATCCCATCCCTTAATTTGAGTTATCCCAATTACAAGCCAGAAACACCTAAGGACTCTGTGTCCTAGTGCTCCAAGAAATAGGAATCTCTCCCAAGGGTCCAGATGAGTAAATACTAAAGTGTCGCCCCACTCAGGATTTCCTATCCTCTTCTTCATTGACCTGTTCTTTGGCACATACTAGCGAAAGAAACTTTCCCAATAGCCTCACCTGGGCAAGGGATCAAGGCCAGCAGGGCCTGGACACCAAACAGCAACATTTCCATCCTTATGAGAAGGGCCAAAAGCTGGAGAGGACGAAAGAAGAAAGCGATCGATACTGGAGAAAGTGACAAAAATAGAGAAAAGGGGTACAGGGAATTCTTTGGTACTGTTAAAAGTTAGCTTCTTTCCTGAAACCTTATGTGGTCTGGAGAAATTGCAGCAAGAGTATCAGTGGTGTTATCATACTAAAAGAAATTCTTGCATCTATTTCAGTTTGGTTTATATGCTTAGCAAAGACATAGGAAAATATGAGAAAGAATGAAGGGGATATTAGATTAAGTGAGGTCCCTGTATAAGCTTGTATTGCACTTATCTGTTTACATGTTTGCCTCTAATGGAGTAAATAGAAAAAAGGCTGTTAGCATGGAAATGTGAAAAATGAGGTTCAAAGAGATGAAATTTGACAGTGGTTATCTGGCACTGTCTGGTGGAAAGTGACCCCGAATCTAGAAAACATGTTCTCTTAAGGGAGAAATGCTTCATCAGGCCTCTTTCTTCATGACCTCTGTGGAATAGCCCTCAAGATAACCCATCTCTTTCTGATCTGCCTCCAGGTTCACCCAGCAACAATTGGATTACCAATTTGGCTTAAGTGTCCACTTCTTTCCTCTGCCAATCGATACCAAGTTTTTCTTTCAAAACCTCATTCAAGCAAATTTCTTCTAAGAAAGGTTTCTTGACTAATCCTATCCCATTTCATAATTCCTCACTTAATTACACATTATCTGTACCTCACTTTATGCCAAACATGCTTTCTGAAGCTATGTATGTTAAAATGTAATTCACCTCAGTGAATTGTTTTCATGACGTAATCATTCCTATACTAGGAATTCCTTGAGAACAAGAGAATAATTTTATCACCTTGGATCTCCAGCACCTAGCATAGTGCCTAGCATATTATGGGTATTCCATAAATGAATAACCCTCTAATTCTACATTTGAATTTTCATACACTAGGTTTTGTACAGGTCTACCTTTACTTGTATGTTAGTCTGAAAGAGGGTGTTTTTGGTCTTTCTTATACATGCATAAAACAATAGGCATATCAAAATTTACACCTGCAAGTAAATGTTACCATTCAAAACAATCACTTTGGGAGGCTATAATCTTATTTCAGTGATGACACCATTATTCAAAACATTTTTGGGAAGTGATTTTAGAACTGGCTTTTAAGCTGCATTTTAAAAAAAACCAGCCTCTTTATTAAGCTATTCTATTATTGATATTACTTATTACTTAATATCATTAAAATGATATTACTCAGTCACCTTAGTCCCCAAACCTAGCTCTGAGTGACTTAATCTCTTTCAAAGGAAGATCTCCTATCACTGAAGAGATTCTAAAGTAACCTCAGACTCTGAAGGAAAATTCAAAACAAGAGTTCTGAGTAATAATAGCTTAGTTGAAAAAAGTAGAAAAGCCCCAAGCGGGACTGCTTAGATTCATACATTCTTTCAGCTAACAGTTGTTGAGCCAGGCTTGTCGTAAGGTGTTGAAGTTACCAAGGTTTATCCCATGATGTAGGAATTCCTGGGAGTTAGTCAGAAAGACAAATGTAAATACAAATAATGATACACTGTGCTGCGAAGTTTATTAAGGCATGAGGTGATACGGAGAAGAGGTCAGGCCAGGCTTACTTGAGAAAATTAGACTAGTTCATCCTTGTTTTCCCTTGGCATGTTATGATCAGGTACTGAAACATGAAATTTTATATTCATTCTCTTAAGGAGAAAGAAAGCAGCATCCCAAACGGGAAACGGTCTTTTTAAATCCTTTTGCTTACTCTGTAGATTATACCCTACATTAAGGGTTTAGACGGTCTGAAATTCGAGGCCCATACTTCAGCCACAAAAGGGTTACAGGGAGAGCGGTGGGCAGTGAGCCAAGGGCGGCAAACACCTACGTGCGGCTGGATGGCTTTGGTGGTGTAGCCTGAACTGGACTCCTGTCCAAGGTTGGAATTCTCACCATCCATTTACATCCCAGAGTTTCGTGCAGTTTCTTGTACAGACCTGAGTCGCATCCCGCCCTTTGCACTGTCTCTCCCCTCTGCTGGAATTCGCTTCCTCCTCCCTGAACACTCCTTCACCCAGTTCAATGTACCTTTGCAACGAGGCCTACCATGACCGCCCTCTTTTAAAGCCTGGGTGCCCAGCCGCACCTCAGCACACTGTCCATCGACTGGACTGCCTTCTCCTCCCCCAGCGGTGCCACCTCCCACATCCCTGCCCTTTACCCCTTCGGCCTGGGAGAATTGTCCACTTCTGGCCCCGATGGGAAGCCCATGAGGGCAGGGCCTTTTCACGGATGGATCCCAAGCACCCAGAACCAAGGCAGGCGTTTCAGCAGACTATAAGACTATAAATGAATGAATGAACTGGATAAAATATTTACCAATATTGAGTGAGGGTCTGTGACCACTGCAAATACTCAAACTGAGGCCACTTGCTGCTCGGAAGGAGTTTCCTGTGAAGCGTGTACACTACGTGGCTCTCAGCCTAACAGGCCATGAAGGCTTTTAATGGCAGATTTTTTTTTAATTTTTGATTACATGGGGAAAATACTTCAGCGAGTGCTCCTCACGGCTTCCCGCCCACTAAAGTGTGAGGAGGCGAGGCCCGCTGGGAGATCGCCACAGATTTAATAAGAAAACCGGGAGAAGACCCCGGCATGAACCTAAGCAAAGAAAACAAGACCTAGATTCTCACTGAGGGTGGCTCCTCGCTGCTCCAGCCGCTCCTCCAGCCGCTCCTCCAGTCGCTCGGAGGCTTCGTCCGCTGGGTTCTCAGGCGCCCGCCACGCGCTCAGACCGTTTGGTAGGCACCGCCGGGCGGGGGCGCGCGAAGACGCTCCTGGCCAGAGGATTTGCCTGATCTGCCTAGAAACTCATGACGTCTACACAGAAGCTTAGCGAGGGTTGGCTGAGACAGGGCAGGAAGCTAGAACGACAGGAGGGGCTTACGGGGAAGATGAGAGTAGGGACGCCGGTATCCTGCTTGGCTGAGAAGGCATATTTGACTTAAGGTAATGGCTATTGATAAAGCAACGTGAAAACAAAAGACAAAGGGTTCTTGTAGCAAATAATTGCTCTATAAGGAAAACAAAAGTTTGTGGGCACCCCTGTGCCTCTTCGTCTAGTGGTGCGGCCTGAACACGTGAGACTCCCGCGCGGGAGAAGGCTGAGCGCGCAGCCTCGTTCCCGCCTTGGGTCTTGGAGCCGTCTTGGTGGTAGGCTTCGGTTCGTCGCTCGCTCTAAGTCCTGCCGCGACTCCTCCTGGCTCTTCTGGGTGGGCTGGGCAAGGGATTGGAGGAGACGCCCTGCCCATTGGCTGAAGTCTTTTAGGCGCCACGCCCCCAGTGTTTCTATACCCCACTCTCCACGTACAAGTAACACACCTGAGCGAACTAGCGTTTCCGGCCTCACTTCCTACCAAAGGTGCCTGCGCTCTTGCTCCACCCTCCCAGGGGCTCTCAATGAGATAAAAATGAGAATGAGCGTGTAAATCCTCCTCCGTTGCTTCTTTTCACCCAGGACCCCTTTCTTCAGCTTGCACTTTAAACGTCTCCCTAGAGTCGTCTCGAAACCCTTTCCCTGAGCACAGGTTGGGCCGTACTCATTAGCATCCTAGTGTGGCTTTGGCTCCTCCTGAGTCCTTGGTCTGATCATGATCCATGGGCTGAGTTTCTTGGTGGAGTGAAGTTTGAGGATTTGGGAATGTTTTTTTTCAGGAGGGCAACTATTATGTGCATCCACTATTTGGTTTTATAGAACTACCTCCGAGCGAAGAAGAGGCACTACTTTTAACCCTGTTTTACGGATGAGGAAACGACTTGGAGAGAGAGGCCTTGGTACTCTTTATATGGAGGTGGCAGTCAGGGAAATTATTAATGTAGTTGGCAACTTTGGTGTCCATTATAAGTAAGAACTGTTTCTTTTTGGCAGCCTAGGGCAGCTGCCTTTCTTGTACCCTAGTACCACTGCCTCATCTTACATACTGATACTTTGAGGGAGAATATTGGATAGAGTAGAAGCTTTGGGACTAAACAAGCTTGTGTAAGAAACCCTCTTCAGTGTCTTATTAACTTGAGGACTACGGGAAATTTACGTAACTTCTAGTTCCCTCATCTGTCAAAAAGAGTGGTATTTAGCTTATTTATGCAAAAGTGCCCCCTACCATTGTTTTTGACACTAAAAATAGGTGTTCGATAAACGGTCGTCTGTCTTTCCTTTTACAATCTCAGAAAGGCCTTTCCTGACTACTCCCGCTAAAATTGCCTACCTTTATTTTTCTTTATAGCATTTATCAGTACCTGACTTGAAGCTAAATGTCTAGTGGTGCTCTAGACCAGCTGGTATGGGCGAGCCCTTCCTTTCTCAGCTCCGCATATGGTGATGTCAGGTTGAGAATCTGAAAACAGGCATGATGGAAATATTTACATCATTGAAATTGTCCAAGGTTACAGATTAGGGTTTGATTTTGTTTTTCTGAGAACTGGTTGGTAACTATTTACCAGCATACCGCTGTATATGTCTGTTTATTGTTCTCCCTCTAGAATCTTCTGGGTCATGAGAGCATGATTTTCATCTGTCATATATTGCTGTCTCCTTAGCCCACAGAAAAATAACTGCACATAGTATGCACTCTATAATAAATATTTAGTAATTGAGTGAGCTGAGAGTCTGTGCAGAGTAGTGATTTCACACCTTAACTTTCTTTGTGGGGAAGCATCACACAGCTCCATTCAGAGGATTGGTAGTTTTGTGACGCTGGCCTCCTTTGACTGCTTTCCATTTTCCTTCTGCTTTTCCTTCCCTAGTCCCCAAAGGTAGTGGTGAGGATGAGATTTTGGATCTGTTCAGAGAAGACATCACCAGCCCCTTCTTCCAGGCTACAAGGTTGGCTTATCATCCCCACCCCTGGCATCCTCTATCAGTAGGAGGGAGTGGAGGAACTAAGCTTGTCAGAGACATGCCCTCAACTTGTTCCAACCCCAAATAGCTCAAAAGGGCAAAGTAGGGAGGAGTCCTAACACCATTTCTCAAAAAAGATGTTTCTTTTACCTCTTCATAAAGTTCCCAGCAATCACTAGGGTATGGGCTAGTTTTAAAAGCTTTTGGAGCTTTCTGGGAAGTTTTAATAAATAGATTTTTCATGGTAATATTTTAAGTAATATTTAATTTGTCTAAAGTCATAGAGTAATTTAAAATCTTTATTAAAAATGCATATATGTCCAAATTTATCAAATTTTACAATTTAAACATAGGCAGTTGATTGTCAGTCATTTCAATAAAGTTGTTTTTTAAAAGTCTTTATAGAAACATTTAATATTTGTAACTTTTTTTCTTTTTTAGTATCAGTAACCAAAATTTCAGTTTCATGCAAGAATGTTAGCATTTTCAGGAATTTTTTTTGGCCAATTTCTTAATTTACATAACACTTTAGTATGTTGTTTCTAACAAAATATATTTGTGATGTGGTTGCTTCTGTTGCTTTCAAGTAAATTTCTTACTTTACCTGATTTTTAGCATGTTCACTATTTTTTATTTGTTTGTTTTCTTTTTGGTCCTTTACAAATTTATTTTTCTGGTTAATGCATAGCACATCTGAGACTCGTTAGTAAGATCTATCATAGTAAGCCCTCTGGCCACCCTCACTTCTCTTTTGTAGCTTTGAATGGTCTTGCTCATTTTTGGTAAATCTTTCTGCAAAGTGCTACCAAATCAACATCCTAGTCACTCTTTGTTAGAAACCACAATTTCTGCACTTACATTTGGCAGAATTTTTCCCACTGCTTAGTTTTTTCAGGTAGTTTTGCATGTCATTTTCTATTTTTGTCATATGCTTACATTTGTATTATCCTTTTTCCAATTCCTCAATGGCATATCAGTCTTAACTTTCATTTCTTCAACTCACATTTTAAACTTCAACATCTTTAAGGGTGTTAACACCTAACAAAAATAGCTATATAGTATAAAAACTGTTTTTTAAACTATTTTTTGATCACTTAGTGACTTGAATTTTGGCAAATGAGCTTTCTCCAACTAACCTACTTCTTTATGTGAAAGGTGCTTTCCTAGGGAAGTGGAGAAGGCATTCCTTCTAATGGATGATTGCTTTGGCCCAGGTAGTTCATGGTTGTGGGACTGGGTTATAGAAACAGCAGGTTTGAACCTGACAAAAGGAGGAGAAGCCCCAGCTAGGCAGCCATCTTCTTCTGAACCTGCATCTCTCGTTTGACTGCTTTTTAAACTTGGTTTCTGGACTCTCCAAATCTGCCATGTCCCTGTTCCCTGAAGACCTCATTCTCTCCCTTACCTGCTCTTTATCCCTGGGGTTGTCAATGCCTGACTCAGGGCAACTTGTTTATAAAGGCTAAATGGCTAGTTAGGATCAGTACAATCTTAACCAGAATTCGAAGAGCACATAGATTAAGGGTTAGACATCAGGAGTTAGTACTAAGTGAATCAACCTTGGCAGCCCATTAGAGTCAAGGTGAGGATAAGATCTGAGCTAGGGAGTAAACAAAAAATATCCAGGAATCCAGGTGGAAGGTTACAAATCAATAAGTCCAAGAAAGACTCAAGAAAGACACGGGACTCAAAGTTAACTCTATGGTTAAGCTGGTTTTAACCTTCTGCCCTGATGAGTTAACTCCTGATTGGGCCCAACTTGGGACAGAGTTCTGAGTAGGAAAGCAGAGGTAATTTTTCAGAGTTATTTCCTGAGCAGGCATTGTGTCTGCACTGTCCTGGAATTCACACTGGAGGGGGTATGTGGATAAAGACAGCCCCAAACAAAAGCCACAGCACAATATATTGAGGACTCTTACAGAAATTTAGTGCGAGTGCTATGGAAAACAGAAAAGAGAGCAATAAATTGACAATGGTAGTTGTAGGGTGGGAATAGGAAGTCACGGAAGATTCCGGAGGCAGTGACATTTGAGTTGGCCTTGAAGGATAAGCAGACTGTTGCATAGCAGAGAACTGGGGAAGAACACTTGTTCGTTTAATAAATATGTATCGAGTACTTTACTTTGTGCCAGGAGTAGTTCCAGATAGTGGGGATACAGCAGCAAACAAGACAAAGTCCCAGCCTTAGAGGGGCTTACATTCTAGTGACATCAGGCAGAAGAACCTCAACATGAAAGGCATGTTCAGGGAAGGGCAAGTTCAGTGTGGCTTGATGGCAGAATACATGGGATGTTGGTAGAAAATAAAATTAGAGAGGTAAGGAGGAGGACAGAGAATACAGAGCCAATTAGGGCATGTTTAGATACAGACTCTTCTGTAAGCTATTGGCTTTTAAGCATTTTAGAAAGAGTTTATGAACCCTTTCTGCCAAAGAAATCTTGCAAGATCATGCAACATAAAAAAAGCAATAAAAGTAGAGCTCCTTGGTTGAAACAGGGATGGGGGGTGGGGGTGGGCAGCAGCACAGAGAGGGGCAGCAAGGAAGGAACTCCTAGCTCTGCCCTCTTACCTCACTGTCAGCTCTCCTCAACAGCTCTGAGAAAGCCAGAGGACTATAGTGGGTTTAAAGCCCACTGCTGAAGATGATGGAGGGCACACAGACATCAGAAAATGGAGAGACATGATCAGACTTGCTATCTGGGGATAAAATTGGCAGAGGAGATGGGGTAGAATGGCCCCCATCAGGGAAATAAGTTGGGTAGGTTTATGGAACAGATGCTGAGAACCTGATCTAAGATGGGTAGGGTGGATCCAAGAGAGATTTAGGAGGTAAAACCAGTAGAACTTGGTGACTAAGACCAAGGGGAGTAAGACAGGGAAGAGTGAAAGATGATTCCAAGAAAAAAGGTACTTAAGGCTTTCTCTGTTC